GGATCTCCTCCACCCCGGCTATCGCTATCTCCAGGCGTCTGCGCCGACGGTGCAGCGGTACCATTCACGGCAGACATATGCCGCGGAGCAGTGGGCGCGGCAAACACATCATCGTCGCCGAGGTCTTCCTCCTCCTCCTCCTCGTCGCACCGCCCGTCCGCATTCACAAGCGGGCGCGCCAGCGGGTGGGCCTGCGTGTGCGGCCGCCGAGGCTCAGCAGCAGCACCCGCGACATGTACATGCAGCCCCGCGAGTCCCACAGCGAGCGCGTTCGCCTCGGCCTGTATTACCGCAGGTGCCTGTGTATGTGTAGCGAGCTCAAGCTCTGAGGAAGAAAACGGTACAGGGCCCGGGGAGGGTGTGGGCGGTATTGATGGAGCGCGGGGTATTGGTTCGAATTCGACGGGGGAGGGGGAAGGGGAAGGAAGAGACGCGGTAGCGTATGCGACGAGTGCCTGGCGCTTCTCCTCGCGCTTGCGGTCGCGCATCTGCCGCCGCGTGTACGCCCTCTCTTCTTTGTCCGTCTGGCCTGGAGCTGCGGTGTTTACGGCCCTGTTGTGGTTATGGTTATGGTTGTGGTTGTGGTGGGCAGCCCCGTTCGCCCTCGCCGTGGGCTGGGTGGCCTCGTCGTCCGAGGCGGCGCCTGGGTTGGTTATGTGTTTGATGCGTTTCAACCGTTTGGTTTTCTTGGTTGGGTGTGCCTGGTGCGCGCTGGGGTGGAAGTGCATCCGCGCACGCATAGGTCGTGGCTTGAACACCGAGGCGATCTCGAGGTCGATGGTGGTGTATTGCTGTGCGGGCACCTCGTCCTCGGCATCGGCGTTGTCTGCGGAATCTTCTGATGTAGAGGAAAAGGCGAGGGATATTGTCGAGGATGCGTAGGATGATGCGTAAGATGCGGGAGTGTGATTGTATGCAGGCAAGTGGGAGGGAGGCTCCAAGAGAGCAGGTTTTTCGAGTACAATGGTGCGCGACATCACTTCTAGCTCGTCGTCGTCGATTTCTGTAGTTGATGGATCCTCGGTCTCTGTTTCCGTCGTGCTGGTATTCGAGTAATCCATCAGCAGTGCCGTGGACGAACCGTCGTCCTCGTCATCCTCATCAGCGCCAGGAGGTCTTGCACGGGTTCTGCGTCGTCCATTCCACTTGTCGGTCTGCCCCGCTGCAATACCAGCTAGTGCCGCTGGCACTTCGATCTCCTTCACCACGATGACGCTTGCGCCTATCTCCCCCGCCATCATCTCGAGCGTCTCCAGACTCTGCTCAAGCTCGGCCCTGGGGAGCCCCACGAGTGCCCCGCTGTCCGCGACGCCTAGCTCATAGTAGGCCTGGCCGCCGCCCTCGAGGAGCCGCCACTTGAGCTGGGTGACGAGACGTGCGAAACGCGCGGGAGACGGGGAGAGCAGCTGGAGCTTGTATTCGACGTTGCCGTCGTCTGCTTCGGGGACGAGGGAGGGGAGGAGCCGTGATATGGGCGATGCGGACGACGCGCACGATGGGAGCGGTGAGCACGACGAGGGAGTGGAGATTAGCGAGTCCCAAGGGCTGGGCACGCGTGGGCTTTCGGATTCTGACTCGCCGAACATTGGAAAGGAGTTTTGTTGGTGATTGCTAGTCTAGGGAGGTATTCGAGGGATCATTGTCGAGTTTTGAGCGAGCTTATTGCGAGGACATCGTCGAGTCAAGGTGGATAAGATGGAGTCAAGACGAAAGATTCAGGTGGCTGTGTCCGAACAGTCACCATGCCAACTGGACGCAAGGGTCGGTGGCGTAGTTGGTTATCGCATCTGTCTTACATGCACACAGAAGGTCCTCAGTTCGAGCCTGGGTCGACTCAGCTCTTTTTTGCGCTACATCCCAACTTGTAGCGCTTTTTGGAAAGACATCACTGCGCACTTTCCACAGGGTCGATGGCGTAGTTGGTTATCGCATCTGTCTAACACACAGAAGGTCCTCAGTTCGAACCTGGGTCGACTCATGTAATTGGATTCGGCATATTTTTTCATCAACAAGAAAGCATGGTACTATTCAAGCCCGATGTACAGTCTGTGGCGTATCAACTCTTGATCCAAACCAAAATTTCCACATCGCCCGAACAAAATTCACAATCCCATCATTCAGGACTGCACTCACATATCACTTGCCGGGGAAGAGTAAAGCAGGAGGATAAGAAGGTAGTGGGGGTTTAACAGGGCGAGGCCGATACAATTCCACATAGCTCGCAATGCTCGCTCGCACGCACGGACGATGAAGGGAGACTGTATAGGTGTTAGCCGGTGAGTGATTTTTTCCCTCCGCCAACAGCTTAGACTTGCGCGAGTTCCAGAGCACAGAGTGTAACAGGCATGTTATACAAACTTTTCAACAGAATACAAACAACATCTTCTCGTATCAAATGTCATCGTAAAAATATTCAAAATGAAGCCCACGAATTACCACGGCACGGTCTATTTGACATATAGCGCAAAAGTTAACGAAGGGCAAGCGACTCAAAGTGCGTGAACACTTACTGGAGCAGGCTTACTGCCATACCCGATATCATTGTACATCGGCGTAGATCCATCTACGTTATTGTTAGCAGGGTTAGAGGGAGCAGGCCCGTCTCCATGGCTGTCCTTGACTGGTGCATTACCGGAATTGTTGTATGCAGGCGCGGGACCGTCTCCATGGTTGTTGGCAGGATTCGAGGGCGTGGGTCCATCTCCGTGGTTATTGCTAGGTGGCCAACTAGGCGCAGGCCCGTCCCCGTGGTTGTTGTATGCAGGCGCGGGACCGTCTCCGTGGTTGTTGCCGGGCTTCGACCCAGTGCTAGGCGCCGGCCCATCTCCATGATTATTGTACACGGGCGCGGGACCATCGCCGTGGTTGTTAGTAGGGTTCGAGGGCGTCTGGCCATCGCCGTGGTTGTTCGCGGGAGTTGAAGTCGCGGGTCCATCTCCGTGATTGTTTGGCGGGGAAGGATTGCCCCCAATAGGCGTGATAGGTGCGTTATTGCCCCAGGACGGGTTCCATCCCCCAATAGGCACGACGGGCGCGTTCGAGCCACCGATAGGCGTGATTGGAGCATTCGAGTCGCCGTTGTTCCAGGAAGGTTGGTTGGAGCCTCCGATGGGAGTAATGGGCGCGTTGTTGCCCCCGCCAATAGGCGTGATGGGAGCATTCGAGTCGCCGTTGTTCCAGGAGGGTTGGTTGGAACCTCCGATGGGAGTAATAGGCGCGTTCGAGCCACCGATAGGCGTGACCGGAGCATTCGAGTCACCGTTGTTCCAGGAAGGTTGGTTGGAACCTCCGATGGGAGTAATGGGCGCGTTGTTGCCCCCTCCAATAGGCGTGATGGGAGCGTTATTACCGCCCCAAGAATTGTTCGAGCCGCCAATGGGTGTGATAGGTGCGTTGTTGCCCCCTCCGATGGGGGTGATGGGAGCGTTATTGCCTCCCCAATTGTTCGATCCTCCAATAGGAGTAATAGGCGCGTTGTTGCCCCATGAGGGTCCTGGGCCTCCGATGGGCACAATCGGGCCTACAGGAACGATTGGAGGATTGGATTCACCGTTGCCCCAGGATGGATTGGGACCACCTGGTCCTGGAGAACCGCCTCCGATGGGCATGATGGGGCTCACAGGAATAATAGGGCCTACAGGGACGATTGGGGGATTGGAGCCACCGTTGCCCCAGGATGGATTAGGACCGCCTGGTCCACAGGAGTTTCCGCCTCCGATGGGCACAATAGGGCTTACAGGAATGATAGGGCCTACCGGAACAATTGGAGAATTGGAGCCACCGTTGCCCCACGGCGTAGTAGGACCGCCTGGTCCACAGGAATTTCCGCCTCCGATGGGCACGATAGGGCCTACAGGAACGATTGGAGAATTGGCGCCACCATCGCCCCAGGGTGGATTAGGACCACCTGGTCCACAGGAATTTCCGCCTCCCATGGGCATCATGGGCCCGCCGGGTGGTGGTCCCTACATAACATGTGTAAGGTCCACAGTAAGGCAGGAAGTGAGGTAATGGTCGTACCATGCCCATTCCAGGTCCTGGGGGACCCCAATGCTGCGGTGGGCCCTTTGGGAAGCCAGTTAGTCATTTGCGAGCTTCCGAAAGCACAAGTTCACGGCGCACCATTTGGGGACCGAAACCCGGGCCACAAGGAGGCCCTCCCTATTGGTGAAACAAGGTTAGACAACGCGCATGCATGGCAATAAAGTTAGCTACCATTGGAGGGGGACCAGGGGGACCACCCCATGATGGAGGGCCCTATGGGAGGCGGTATCAGAGGGTTTTTAACTACTGAAAAATCGAAGAAAGGCTTGCCATCCCGGGGGGACAATGGGGCGGACCCTATATTGATAACTTAATACACAAAGAATCGGGGAGATGGGTAGTACGACTTACTCCAGGTCCACGTCGAGGCTGTCCTGGAGGGCAATACATGTTTCGAGAGTGCAATTCAAGCTGATTTGATAGAGGGGGGATTCTTGGAAAGATGTGGTACGCGATAGCATTTCCTAGTGATTATAAGGTTCTTGCGGATGGGAGACCCTGTCGCTATTATATTTAGTTGACAGTATGAATGGTCACGCGTGTGGCACAGGGCTGTTTGAAACGTTTCTTTCAAGCTAGACCGGCGTGTTTTGAGAGAAGAAATTTCGAGATGTATCCATAAATAGGTAGACCTACAGGATGAATGTCAACAAATGAATGGAACTAGACAGGTAGAATGGTACTATACGCACATCGTGGCATCCTTCTTGATGTTTTCTGATCTAAACTGTGAATAAGACAGGGTGCCGATTTGTGGATGCGGATGTTGACGGATTCAAGATTCGGCAAGAATCCAAAATTATGTCGACCCAAACCAAAATAGCTTTGGATTCTAGGGTCGCATCCCACGTTGCGCCACGTCTCAGCCAGAGTAATCACTCAGATCTAAGAGTTGCCCAAAGTGTTTTTTATCGATAACGTTCAACGTCAGAGGGATGCAGTTTAAAAGAGTTAAGAAGGGGCGAGTGAGCAATATGATGCATCTTTATTTGATATCAAACTGCGATGGGGCGAGCTGTTCATATGGGGAATGAGCAGTAAGAGTAAACGCAGAGGCATAATGGATAAGTAAAGCGTGCGATACAGTTGACAGACAAAATTAGGGTCCTAAACTGAAGCTGTGGCTTTTGACGGACCCTCGCAAACGTTCTTATGAGATTTCCAATCCAACACGCGCAGCAAGCATTAGCCATAACTAGAAAGTTTTTCGATGCCTATAAATCTCACCTGGTGAGAGGGGCTACAATAGAGCGCCTCCTTGCACCTCTGGCAGCGCTGTAGGAAGGTTGGCTTCGCCACATTGGGTGCATGTTGCACATCGCACGTCCACACATTACATGCAACGAGACCCGTTGGCCAGATACTCTTACGTACCATCTTGCTATCCTTCGCGAGCGAGCGGCAGGCCTTCAAGTTGAAAAAGCCGCATTCCGTCTCTTCACACTGCGGAGTGCTACATGCTGTTGGGAAGGAGTCGATGAATGCTTGCGGCGGGCGGTTCGCTGGGGATGTGAAGAGTGCAGTTGCGCGTCCCTTGAAAGTTATGGGATGGAAAACAATGAATGGTGGCACATAGCCCACAGCAGGGTCTTGAAGTAGCGCGCGTACGAGAAGGTCGGCTTGCGGAAAGCAGGGCCGAGCCCTGCGGCAGAGTGTGCGCTCTATCTTGACATCTGTCCAGGAATATTATTGGGAAGTGCAAGTGAGATACAATCGACTTACATTCTAGGTTTCGCTGCTCTTCTGTCCATTCCCCTTTGCTTAGACGGACCCAGTAATCCAAGGCTTGTGCCAAAAACTCGGGTTCCCAATCAACGATTATGATAGGAATATCGCCTCCTCCGCGATCATGCATGTTCCTAAGCAGGAGGAGCTCTTGCATCTAAGTCTATTCATCAGTCAAGGGTTGCATGCAAAATAAAAACACGAACCATGCCGACCAACGTAAACGTCTGCCAATCCTTGCGCGTCCATGTACGACCCCGCACCACCCTCGGATCATCTGCCCACTGCCATGTCGATGGGTGCGCATACATCTGGATATTAAAGTCTGCGAGATGCATTGGGAGAAGTTTTGCCGTGTCTATCGTGCGGAAAAAGAGGCTGCTGGGGACAAAGGGTTTGCCCGTCTTCCACGCGATGAGGCGACCTTGGACGCCCTGCTGCTTGCGCTCCGAATCGGTCACTTTGATTGCGTCTGGTCCATTTGCATTTTTGAGGTACCATTTATTCCACGGAGAGCCCCCAGGAACTCCGTTCCAGCTGTCGTGGAGCTGCTTGAAAATTGTCTCGACGATTTTTTCGACTTGATACCTGTCACAAGTTTCGTCGACGACCATTACGCATTCAGATAGCAGTGCTGGTTCCACTGGACAGTCAGGTCCCTGTGGCATCGTGGTAGTTAGAAATGACATTTAAATGGTAACGCGAGTCGCGACGCAATTAAATTCGCCCCATACCACGTGCCACAAGACGCGCTGGACGTTTACTAAACTCAGAGCTCTGGGGCCGAGTCTTACGTTTGGTCATGGGCACATGCTTCTCACAAGTTAGTTGCAAATATCAACGGGTCACTTACAATTATTTGAAGAGGTGCATATTATGTACTCTCAGCATTGTATTGAAGACAACGCCACAATTGATTTCGACCAGGATAGGCTATCGACTCGGACATAGCGCGGTGCAGGATGTCTTTAAAAGGCCTCTTTCTCTCATTTTCACCATTGAATTCCGAAAAAAAAAAAAAAAAAAAAAAAAAAAACGAGATCCTGGGCCCGGGTAGAGGGGTACTCT